AGGCATTATGAATTACCATATTTTTTGCACCATAACACTCACTTTTTTCCTCCTAGAAAGTAAGGGGAAATGTCAATGCGTGTTATGGAGGGAATGCCTACGGGTGGCATGCCTGCGGATTTTCCTCCTCTAAAAACTATGTGCGTGTTATGGTCGGGTGCGTGTTACAGAGTGAAAAATACGGTATTTAACAAACAGAGAAGTCCCCAAAATTGGTATAAGGATTCTGCAGAATGAAATGTAATATATGACTAGTTTCTCTGAAACTGCTTATAGAGTAGTAATTATAAAATCACCCAGGAGAGGGCCAACTTCTGCTATGATCTTAATGCTGAATTGCATTCTGAATGCCAATTACGTTTAAGTATGGTATGGGTAATATGTTGCTACTTAATATTCCTAGGTACTTGAGTCATTCATAATTTTATTAGAAACACATTGCTCTTAGCTGGCAAACGGATCCATAACCTGACCTTACTGGAGGTTAGGGTAATAGTGCAATCTTAGGCATGTTTGCTCAGAATTAAGTCCTACTGAATTCAGTGGGACTTAGTCCCAGCAAGTGTGTATAGGACTGCAGCATAACAGTCTTAAATAAGAATAACAACATAATATTAATAATGTATTGCTTTACTTTTCCCAAATAGTGAATTGACAGCTATTCATCTTATACAGCAGAACATAAAGAGGTAACTCTGGGATTGGGAACACTTGTGGTTTCAATGTATGCATTATGCAGAAATGCTCTGAAACTTATTTGAATACATCCTGCATTTGCATTGCAAATATCTGCCTGTAAATGCAAGAAAATGTGACAAAATGTTAAGAGTTTGGGGGAGAGGCAGACTCTCCATAATCTCTTGATTCGGTAAAGAGCTATAATGGGAGCAAACTCATAAATTAAGCAAAGGTTGGTTAATTAAAACTGAGCCAAGCACTGTTGCTTTCAGTTTAGGATCACAAGCCCAGGCAGCTTCACATACCTACCTGGGGATAAGCCAGCCCGTTAACATGACAAAAGGTGTTGATGACCCATATCAAAGTAGGTGTTTGAGCCTGGGCAGACAGAGGTTACCAAGGTGACAGGTGTGTGTATGAGGTGACAGGAAGGAGTGTTCTTTACAGGAGGTGTGCTGGGAAGAAGAAAGGGGGACAGAGGAGTCTTCCATGAGCTGCTGAAAAGGCCAGAACTCCATGCAGGGCTGGATGACCAGAACCATCTTAGCAGGCTTGCTGAAACAGGCTGGGAGAGATGCCTTGGACTCCAGTGCTGCACTGGGATGACCCTGCTGTAAGATCTGGATTCCATCCATCTAAACTCAGGTGTAAATATTTGAAAAAAATCATATTTTTTAAAGCACCAACACATCTTGATTCAAAATGGCCTCCACCGCATCTTGATTCTCAAAGAAACACAAACCTTGGGTGAGCGCCTGTAACCTCCTGGAATCTTGCTACAGCTCAGCAGAGATTAGGGGTGATGTCCAACCTTGGCAGCAGTATATTTTCACAATAAACAATGAGCTGTCACTGAGGCTGATCTCCCTTTGCTCAGATTACTGTATGTCTGCAGACACCTTGTGTGAGAAGAGCAAAAAGTCTTCAGGAGGATAAAAATGTTCTCTAGAGTCATCCTGCAGAAGTTCATCAATGTCATTTTATTCAAAATTTTGGTTGTAAAGACTGAAAGCCCAGGAGCTACTGAGCTGGATGCTAAGCAACACAGAGACCATGGCAACAGTTCCTGTTTCCTCGTGCCACTCATTGATAAAATTCAGGTTACGGTAGCTTCAGCACAAATTCTGAAAGGCAAACTTAATATTACAACCAGGCAATATTACAAGATAACATTGATTCATGATGTGTCTACACATAAGACTATACTGTGTGCAGTGTAATCAGAGAGAAAACTACCAGGAGACTGAGAGCATGAAACTATCTGCATATAGTTATTTGCAGAACAGTCAGTGATGTATTTCTGCAATGGCAAAACTAGCCAGAATTTGAGACAGATAACCATTCTGTTTTCTTATTTTTTAATTTTATTATTTATACTCTGCCCATCTGGCTAGTTTTCTCCAGCCACTCTGGGGAATGTCATGTTAGGTACTGGGGCACTTAATTTATTATTATTATTATTACATAATGAACTTTCATAGGCAAGAACTTAATTTGTCAGATGTGTGCCAATATCCCTTTGAGGGTTTTGAGTCGATCCAATTTAAATATTTGTAACTGAAGGGATATTTATGGCTAGGGTGGTTGGATGAAAAAAAGAAAAAAAGAACGAGCTTGTAAAATAAGGAATTTCAGAAGATGTAGCAAATGGCTATGATGTATTACTTCCAGTATCAGAGACAGTGTGCTTCTGAATACCAGTTACTTGAAATTACAAGCAGGAAAATGCAGGTGCACTCATGTCCTGGTTATATGCTTTGCAGAAGCATCTGCTGGGTGGACCACTGTGCAATCAGAATGCTGGACTAGATAGGCCAGTAGTCAGCAACCTTTTGGGAACATGGGCACATTTGAAAAATCAGAAAAACTGTCATTTGAATACAAGAAAAGCTCTACACTGGTGACCACTGAGATAGGCCTCTGGTCTGGAGGCATACAATTTGGATAAGAAAATTGGCTTCCAGGTGGAAAAATCAAAATTAGAAACAGAATTGTTAGAACCCAAAACTAAGAATTTGTCAAGAATGTATAACTTGCTGTTGAAATGGAATACTCAGGATGAAACGGTGAAATCTGCTATGATTAAATGGGCACAAGATGTTGGACATAATATTATGTTTGCTGACTGGGAACAGTTATGGACCACAGGTATGAAGTTCACGGCATGTAATGCCTTAAGAGAGAATATTATGAAAATGATATACAGGTGGTACATGACCCCAGTTGTCGGAGCCAGCCGTTACAAATGGCGAAGTTTAGCATAAAATTATGACACAGAGAGCCAGCAATATTTTCATGATGGTAGGAGCAGCTCCTTTCGTACTTCCCTCTCCTCCTCCAGCCCTTTTATTATCCTTTCTCTCTCTCCAGCCGCATGGCTGTTTGCCAATGTCTCACGTTACCTCATCCGGTCAAGGCTTTTATTGCCCCCAACACCATATAGGGTCATCCCTGCCCAGAGGAAACACAACTGCAATACATTCCATTACATTGTAAAGCTCAGAGTGCTGGTCAGCCGAGGTCAGGGGGCACCCTGCAATATTACAAGCCTTTACCGTGGCTTTATGACTCCCACACCCAGTCAAGCTTGCAAAAATCTATCATTTGCCTGACAACAAATGCTGGAAATGTAAAGAAACTGAAGGTACATTCTTTCACCTTTGGTGGACGTGCCCAAAGATTAAGGCTTTCTGGGAAATGATATATAATGAACTGAAAAAGGTATTTAAATATACCTTCTTGAAGAAACCAGAGGCCTTTCTCCTGGGCATTGTCGGCCAATTGGTGCCAAAGAAGGACAGAACTTTTTTTATGTATGCTACAACAGCAGCAAGAATACTCATCCCAAAGTATTGGAAGACACAAGATCTACCCACTCTGGAAGAATGGCAGATGAAGGTGATTGAATACATGGAATTGGCAGAAATGACTGGCAGAATCCGAGACCAGGGAGAAGAGTTGGTCAAAGAAGACTGGAAGAAATTTAAAGACTATTTACAGAAATATTGTAAAATTAATGAATCTTAGAAGGATGTTGGATAGAAACCAAGAGGTTTTTAGCTGTAATGCTCTAAGAGATATGAAAAAAAACGGTTTACAATTGGGCAAAAGTTTAATGGTAAGGATTTGCTGAACTAACAAACTGAACTGGAATACAAAAAAGGGAGGTATGAGGAGGTCCGGGGAAATAAGTCTAGGGAAGATAGGTTTGGAAAATTAATGTCTTTTTAACTGTTTTATTTTGTATGTTTCTTTTTTATTTTTTACCTTTTTGTTATATTTTAAAAAACTTTACTCTTTTTTCTGTATTTTGTATTTTTTGTATTTTTTGAAACTTTAATAAATATCATTTTTTTGAAAAAGAGAGATAGGCCTCTGGTCTGGTCCAACAGGATTATTTTTGTGTTTGCAGTACCCTATGTTCCTCAGCAGCTTTGGTGCATAAAATGATAGGCTCTGTAGTGGATGGTGCATTAGTGTTAATGTTCATGTGTTGACCCTAAAATGTTTACTCCAGCCTGAGTCATTTTGCAGCTGTAGGCAAAATCCCCTGACACTGCCATTGTTCCCACGACACTACTCCACCACAGATCTGGGTCCCTCCTCTCTGCTCCCACCATCACGCCTGCACTGCTGCCAGCCCCATCACTGCAACTGTACCCTCACCTACAGCTGTGCCTTCACTTCTGCAATGACACAGCAGCAACAGCAAGGGAAATGGGGCTGTGTTGGCAGAGGCAAAGTCCTGGCAGCAGTGCAACAGTAGGGGTGGTGGGGGTGGGATCCACTGCCTGAAGCCAATGACTTAACTTTGCCTAATGGACAGGTCACCCCAGCTGACCCTTCCACGTTCAAAGCAGAACATCTGGATTCCCTATAAAAGATACATGCACCCTTATGAAGGATGACTGTAGGAACTTGTAGTAATACTTTAGCAAGACATTCCCCCAAAGCAAAAACAGAGACAATGGGAGCATTCTGACCATTGTTGTTTTTGTGGGGGATTCAGCCAGCAAATTCAAAGCTCAACAACTGTGCCCGGATATGGCAACCCTACTACGCTTCCCCAAATGATCAGACTTTTTGCAAGATGGAAAGTGAATGGGAAATGTAGTGGAAAGTGTGAGATACTGCTTGCCACATCATCATATAACTTCTGCACAAACCAATCAGAGTGAATGCTCAATAAAAAGTCAGTGTTGTCTAATCTAAGTGCAAACATATCAGGAGGAATATTCTGCCTGGAACACAGGAACATGCAATGCTGTCTAACTGGCAGTGGCTCTCCAGGAATTCAGACAGGGATCTCTCCCAACCCCACCTGGGGATGCCAGGAATTGGACATGGGATCTTCTGCATGCAGAGCAAATGTTCCACCACTGAGCTATGGCCCTTCCTAGGGGAAACAATCAGTGACTTAGAAGGAGCAAGTTATGATTATATTGTTGCAACACACCTTGAGACTTCACAGTGCAGGGCAAGTAAGATGTTATAAAACAAATACCGGTAAATACTGAAAAATTTGGACTATCCGATAATTTTATATATTGCAACCAGGGCCGTCTTTAGCATATGCGCCACCGGGGTGCAAGGATCCACCCACCACCCCAAATTTAGCCACCCCTATTTTGCGGGGGGGGGGGACTCAAAGTTGTTGACCTTTTTGGGGGGAGGAAAATCGCTCACCAGGGACAAAGACGCAGCGGAAATAACTGCTTTTGACGCTATGGAGTAACAGAGCGACGGAGGAGGGGCACGGGAACTTTCGCTCCATTGCTTTTCCCTGCTGCCACTTGAGACGGACTGGTATACAGTAGGTATACATTTGGTGCCCCCCAGAATTCGGTGCCTGGGTGCTCCACACCCCTTGCACCCCCAGGTAAAGATGGCCCTGATTGCAACTGACAATTAAGCAGTCTCCAGTTGTTGCACCAGAGCAACAGTGTGAGTGGAGCACCACAAAAGACTGGTAGAGCATCTGCTTTGCATGCAGGTCTTTGATTCAATTCCTGGCATTTCCAGGATGGAAGAGACTCCTTGCCTGAAACCTTGAGGAGCTGCTGCTAGTCATGTAGGCAATACTGAAGTAGATGGACTCAGCTTCCTTTCTTTCAATGTACTGGTGCAAACTTTCTTCAATGTGATCTTAGGGCTTACCTCTGCACTTTGTAAGAACAGCTTTAAAGCTCTGTGTCTGAGCACTCTTTTTTTTTTGCTCCAGAACATTCTCCACTAAAACATGCTCTTTAAAGCTGAATCGGAGCAAACAGACAAGCTATAGAAAGGCCCAACTGCCATTTGTTGAGCAGGGGAAAGTTCTGGGGCAAAAAGAAAGAAAGAAAAAAGATTGCTCAGAAACAAAACTTTTAAGTGCAGATCTGTGCCTGAAAAGAGCAGGGTGAAAAGTAAGTGTGGATAAGCTTTCAGGTTCTTTTTATAATGGGTTTTTCCCCCCTTTTACAGGTAGGCAATTAAGTTTATTTTCCTTTAAAAAAAGTAGACACACTTATATAGAAACTAATCCCATTGATTTAAATTGTACTTCCGAATCAGTGCACTTAACATAGAAGCAGACAAGCTGTGAGCCTGACATTTTGGAGAAACAGAAACCATGAGGGGGCAATTGCACTGAAGAATGATTGCATCCTCTTGCAATTAGTTTGATTTTATTTTTATTTTTTTAAAAGCTCTTCAACAAGTCCCACTACATTTTTCTAAAATTCACCTTAAGTACCAGTATGAAGGTGAATATTAAATTAGCCTTCACTCTGGAAAACAGCCAGAGAGAAAGAAAACCGGGACATAATTAAATCTCATTAAAAAATTCCACAGAGGCAAAACACTTTCTGCTCCTAGGCGCATGACAAACTTCCCTCCACAATGTTTTCCCACAATGTGGCTGCTTTCCACAAGTAAGATATGCGAGGCACCACAAGGTTTTGTGAGAAACATAATCAGCACTAGACCCCCATTTCCCACATACAGTAATTTTTACTGTGGTTGAGTGAAAAACACACCCATTGCACAGCCTTACTCTCCCGCCCAACTTCATTTTGCAAGTCATTTGTTCCAACAGACCACCTGAAGCTCTTATTAGCTGGTTAGGTGAATGATTCTGAAATAAAGAAAATACACACAATTTTCCTTGATCTCTCAAAAGAAGAGGAGCTTCTGGCAGCACACGACTAAATGGCACAGAAGGCAAGCCATTGTTACGAGAATTTCAGGTTGGTTTGGAGCACAGGAATATAGGAAACTATCCTTACTCTGAGCCAGACCTTTTGGTCCACCTAGCTTAAGCTTTGTACACACTATACCTCTGAAGCACTTTCATTCTTCTCAAAGAATTATGGGCACCATAGTATAGGTATAATGTAGGTACATCTTCAGAATTGTTTGCACTGACAGGCAGCTGGCCTCCAGGATTTCAGGCCGGGTTCTCCCCCTGCCCTACCTAAAGATGCTGGAAGCTTCTGCATGGAAAGCATGTGCTATGCCACTGAGCTCTAGTCCTCTGAGGGGGGCTCTCCAACTCTGTGGCTTTAGGGATGGGTGGAACTTGACAATGAATTCACCTACAATAATTAATGTACCCAAGAGGCTTGAGTAGTGACATAGTATCGTGGACATTTTGCTGTGGCCTTGGCAGAGCCCCAGGGTGATCATGATATCATTTAGAAAACCAAGAAGCCATCCTGCAGGTGTGCAGCAACCAACCACTGAATGACAAGATGAATAACAGAATGAAGTAACAAACTTCCCCTGCCAAGACATCAGTTATGTACACATTAATGGCTTAAAATGCAGCAAGGTCACACACACACACTTGTCGCATTTGCATGTTGCCGTACACCAGCAAGATAGCTTCACCCAGACTGCATTACCTGTTGGGTTTCCTCACACTGCAGCCTGAATTCATATTCATGAAGCTGTAATTTGGTCAGTCAATTGGTTGGTCAGCCATCTGCTGCACGCACAATGGCTATCTCAACTGTGCACACCTCCGCTTGACTGCACAATGAATGTGACTTTTGTTTCCAAATTGGACAGAAGCTGGCCTGAGGGAAGACTCACCAAAGAGCAGTATTTCTTAAGAACCTACAGGACAGATATGGATTGTGGCTAATGTCACATGTACACAGCTTCAAATACCAGTAGAGGGAGTGCAGTGGAGACAGAGTAAATGGTAATGTGAACACAGCCTCTATTACCTTTTGCCATCTAAGTGTAATACTGACATACCTTACAGGGCTGTTACACAGATTACAAAATAGCATATGTGAAGTGCTTTGAAGCTTTTGGAAGAACATAGACAAGGCATATATTATTTACCTGACTATCTAGTTCAAGAGCCTAATAGCTAAGGTCTGGTTTATTATGTGTTCAGCAAAATGAAATAAAAAACCCTGGAGGCAACAGAATGGAGTGGACAATATCAGTTTTAAAACGCAGGTGTGGGGTGTCGTTTTTGAAAGTTCACCCTGCAGATTAAATAAAAAACAAAAAAAAACTAGCACATGAGAGACAGAAACTCTCTTCCACTGAACACAACATGGATCTGAAAAGTAAGGATGTAATTGGCCAGCTCTTAGCATCTGCCCACTTGCAAGGTTTTGGAGATATGCAAATAGGGCCACAAAGAAGTACTGGCACAAGGCATGGAACAACAGGGGTCCGCAAGGTTTATCTTGCCTGGGCCAGATCAGTCCTGCGGAGATCCCTCTGTGGGCTGGATCGTGTGTGCACATGAATGCGTGTGCCTGCGATTTTCAGCATCTGCATCTATGCCTGTGCAGACACGATTTCCAGCGCTGTGGAAGCAAGTCCCCGCGTCATGCTGTGCCGGTTTAGCGCAGCACGTGAGCGGGCACCTCATTTCGGGGGTGGCTCGTGGGCCGGTCAAACGACCTCCGTGGGCCACTTCCGGCCCATGGGCCTTAGGTTGCTGACCTCTGGAATAGCATGTCAGTAGAGAGATTAACATATAGACCAAGACTGGCCAAAGGTCAAACCAAATCTGTCTTGCGTACAGATGGTCCCAGATTCAATCTTCGGCATCTCCAGGTAAGGTGAGGGAATATTTCTGCCTGAAGGCCTGCTGCCTGTCAGTGTAAACAATACTGAGCTAGATGGACCCATGGTCTGACTTGGTATAAGACAGCGTCCTACAACTGTATAATTTTATTTTACATATGGCATGCTAACAATAAAGACAATGTCAAGGGTCATCAGACTGCTTTCAATAGCTCCAGCCCTACCTAAAAAAAAACCCCTGCTTGCACTTCTTATTGTTGTAATTATATATTTGTTGTGCTTCATCTCATGTAAGGTAAAGAGGTAAAGGGGACCCCTGACCATTAGGTCCAGTCGTGACCGACTCTGGGGTTGCGGCGCTAATCTCGCTCTATAGGCCGAGGGAGCCGGCGTTTGTCCGCAGACAGCTCTTCCAGGTCATGTGGCCAGCATGACTAAGCCGCTTCTGGTGAACCAGAGCAGTGCACGGAAACGCTGTTTACCTTCCCGCCGGAGCGGTACCTATTTATCTACTTGCACTTTGAGGTGCTTTCGAACTGCCAGGTTGGCAGGAACAGGGTCTGAGCAACGGGAGCTCACCCTGTTGCGGGGATTCGAACCGCCAACCTTCTGATCGGCAAGTCCTAGGCTCTGTGGTTTAACCCACAGTGCCACCCGCGTCCCTTCTTCTCATGTAGGTTAGTATAAAACACACAAACACGTTTTCCAGCCATTCTTGTTTTCTGTTCACAGCATGAAGTGGTGCATGGTATATTGCTAGATACCTCTACTCACCAGTAATTACTATTGTTTTAGTTGATCTTACTCCTAGCTAAGTGTGTATATGATTTCAGCCACAGCCTGTTCTGGCATCTCAGGTCTCTGTCACCGCATTCTGCTGTATGTGTAGGGCAGGTCTTCTTTTCTTCACTGTGCTTTTTAATTACTTTCATAGTGTGCTCCAGCCCTCGAATTCTACATAAGTCACTCCACAATTTTGTCACAGATTATAGAGCTGATTCCCTTTGAGCATCCTTGGAGTTCTGCACTAATCATCTTTATTAAAACTTCATTTAAAAGTAAACAAATCAAAGTTAACCCTTGGGCTTGTCTGCAGGTGTTGCTTTGCGCCATCTAAGAAAATGTGTATACATTGGAATGCCTTAGCTCATCATAACTTTTCCACGTGAAAGACTCCAAGCCAAATGGCCCCTGGAAAATGGTGTCATCATAAATAGATGCCTGTATTCTTCTGTACTTCCATAGTTATTGGCATCACTTGGTACAATGGAAGAGATGCCTGCGGACGTGAGCTCTTGATGTGGAAGCACTAGAAAGATGGGTCACTTCTGTAACCTGAGAAAGCCCTGATTATACTGT